CGAAACAAGGAAAGAAAGAAAATCAGTCGGACTTCAAGTCGAAATACGATAAAGTATGGAAGATTCTCAGTTTCCCGCGAGCAAACGAAGCAGAGGTCATTGAGCAGAACCCAAAGAAAGAAGCGGATTTGAAAGTGGTCTCGATTGATCGCGTGAAACCATGGCACCCTCCGTTGCCGGATGAGAAGAAGGAAACAGTAGACAGAGTAACAGAGCGTACTCAAAAAGATTCGGATAAATCTTTTTTCGAACCACGCTCTCTGCTGCCCGACACAAGTGGAGATAAACCTAAGAAGAAGAGAGGAAGACCAAGGAAAGAGGATAAAGACTTTGAAACTGCAGTAACCAAAAGGTCGAACGCAGAAGCCGGAAATCTGGCAGAAAAGTCATTGGAACAAGATATAGAAGCACCAGAGCGTAATTCCAAAAAGGACTTGCAACAACCTTTTTTGAACCACGCACTGCTACTGGACAAACTGATGACCTTTTGAAACAGCGGACCGGCGCTGAGATAACAGAGCGCGATTCTAGTTTTTTCGAACCACGCACTGCTACGATGAATGAGAGTGACCTCATACAAAAGAGAAAGGAGGAAATAGAAGCGGTCAAATCGAAAGCTGAACAGTTGGGCCGCGACATAGCGAAAGCAATAGATGAACAAAAGGTCAAACAGAAGAAAAAGAAACCAACTCCTACAGAGTTGTTGACTCAGGAAGGTGAAGATGAAGATGCTGCCGACAAAGAACTTCCTGATCGGATAACTAAAGGACGCAGAGATATTAATCCGAAAAATTAGATTAAGGGAGGATTAAGGGAGTTTACGATATTGGAAAAGAAGTGGAAAGGTCACCAAACTGAAAACTGTCGAGTCAAAAGGTCATCGAAACGGACGTCAAAAGGTCATCATAGATGAAAACTCAACAGAAAGGTCATCCTGTCAAAAGGTCATCAGACTCGGACTGAATCATACGAGAGAAGCGAAAGGTTATCGAAAGGTCGAGATACTCCGACCGAAATTCAAATGGAACAACGAAAAGGTCACGAAAGTCCGGAATCTTCAGAAATTGTCGACCAGTCGAAAGGTCATCGGACTCTGACTGAAGTACAAAATGAAGTGCAAACGTCGATCGAAGTAAAAGCGGAAGAAGTGAAAGAGGACAATCGAAAGGGTAAGAGACTCCGGCAAAAATCCAAATGGAACAGCCAAAAGGTCACGAAAGATCTGGATCAGCAAAAATGGAAGGTCATCAGACGAGGTTGGGAAGCCGGATCACCGAAAACCATAAGGTCAAGCGACTCATTAACCAATGGTTAAGCGCAAATGAACTTAAAGGTCAAATGTCAGATGAACCAAGTGTCAAGTGAAAGGTCAAACGACAGACCGACTGAAGGTCACGGGACTTTCACACAAAAGACGAACAGCCTAAAGGGCTAGAGACGTCTCGAACCGTGGAGAAGAAAGCGCAACCTAAAGGTCAAGAGAGTTCCGTGTCTACGGAACAACCGAAAGGTCACGAAACTTTGTAAGAAGGTGGGAAAAAAAAGGTCATGCTTCCCATGGAAAAAGCGGCAGTAGATGCAGAAGCGGACTCCGCGCGACAGGTGGTTCAAAAATCGTTGTTTACACTGTTGAAAGAGACTTCAGCGACGGAGAAACCGAAAGGTCGAGAGATTCCACTGACGACCGAGAAATCAAAAGGTCACGAGACTAAGCCGCAAAAAGAGAAGAGTGACGAACCGAAATCGACTCAGTCTTCGTCCGGATCATTGGCGAGATAGACAATCGATGAGAAACAGAGTCTGGAAACCGAACTAACGGACTCGGCATTCCCCCAGAAACCGGATACGTGCGGTACACCAGCGAAATGAAAAATGCTGCCAGAGCACAACAAAATGCGTGGAGAATGGTCATAACTGATGCGACATTGGATAATATGTCGAACAAATGGAACGACATGACCTTTTGAGAAGCAAAGCTTTCAACTTCGAACTGGAAGAACTTTGTACTCGAATAATGGCGAACAGATCAGAAACAGTTGAATGTTAATTGGTTATCGCTGGAGAACTGGTGTAAACGTCAAAAACGTGAAAGGTCACCATGTGAGAACGAGCTTAATAATGCAACGTGAATGGTCATCACGTTAAAGTACTAAAAAGGTCATTAGAAGTTACTATGAGGGTTAAGTATACAGGTCACGTAACATATCATTGAAACTGTATGCGTGTATTTATTGTTTTCAGCGTTTATAGAACAGAATCAGAAAGGATAAAAAAATCATGTGGAGCATCTATTGGGGTTAAAATTGATTCGGTCTACAAAGCCGGCCAAAAGGGAGTAGTTACGGCAGTTAGCCGGCTCTCATGCTTAAGCGACTCACTGTTACAAATCGGCAAGAGAAATAACGGTAATCAAGCCGGATCTCTCGTACGGAAGCTGGGCCACAAGCGGCGAAGAAGAGTAAAAGATTTAATGTGGAAGCGTTATGGGGTAAATTTAATGCGGTAGCTAGCCGGCCCCATCAGACATGTTACGGTAAACTCAGCCGGCACTCTGGCCGCTCGAGGCATATTGAAGTTGGATGTGCGACGGAAAGGTCAACTTGAAAGTTTACTAGGGAGGCAAGCGAAGAAGTGCTTGAAAGTCGGCAAAAATCGGCTAAGTTCCTCCATGACCTTTAGTGGAAATTTGAAGTGAAGATGGATGACCTTTGGAATCACTATTACCCAACAGAGTCATCATATTGGACTTCAAGTCGCATGACCTTTCGGGACCATTAACCCAAAACGAGTCGCACATCTCAACGGATCATCTCAACAAAGGATGACCTTTATCAGGGAGGAAGCGAACTACGCTTGTCTACATGATGTCCCTCCATGACCTTAATTGGATCTCATTTTGAAGTCGTACAATTGATACGCACCATATTCCAAAGATTAAAGCAGTATTCCTAAGTCGTTCTTGATACGCACCTGATTCTCAAAGCGGATTGTGATGAAAAGTCGCATTACGGATGCGCGGACTTGCTCAACAGAGCGGAATGGGCCAAAGAGCGGAAAACGGTGGACGGGACCTGTGACCTTTACGAGTCAGAAATGGAGGATCCTAGTCTACATTTGATTATAACTTTTGTTGATCTGTTTAACTGTTGATCTGTTTTTGTATTACAAGTGATATGGAATAGTATTTTGATACAGATCTCTTTATTTCACATTGTGCATTTGGATTTATGTGATAAAATGGAATAAGAGAATTTGATGTTTTGAGCACACACAGACACCGGCGACCGTCGTCTTTTCGTGGATTCGGGAGCGTGTCCAGCCTCAACGGAGCTCGGCATCCCCCCAGAGGCATGTGAGACGAGGGCTCACTAGCGTTCACGCTCGTAGCGCTAGGCGTTACGCCTTTGGATTATGGTCTGTGTTGTGTCTCGCTCTGATTGGCTTGTTTTGTTAGTGAGCGCGGCTTAGCACGCGCTGCACAGTGATGCACAGTGTGGAATTGGCTCGACGTTTTACGATCGAGCTGCGCCGATCAGTGTTGATTTTCTGTTATGCAGACTTGTCAATATTATTAAAGTTAGCAATTAGCGGTGCGACGTTTTGTGTTTCCGCATAGATCGCAATCCAGATCGCATTGCTCGCTCCACAGGATTCATCCCGTTTGAGTCTCTGTCTCTGGATCCATTCTGGATCTAGCTTTAGACGGGGATCTAAACGGGGACTTTTTTCCAATTTGTAATAAATACTGTACGTATTCACTTTACTGTAAATAAATATTAAATTTATTATGATTTGGCGTTAAAAGAAAACCAACGACTGAAAATAAGCAGCGTACTCCGAGACAGTGATAGAATCCTATGCAGCAAACAAATCTGGAATTAATAAGAAGAATGGCTTTCGTGGATAAAGTTTAGAGGCGCCGAGACGTCACGTTAACTGCACAGACAAATAGCTGTGTAATCAGCAAGACGAATCTCGCCATCCGTCTTGTTGTAAGAAATCTCTGTTAATTTGTCGCATCAGTTTGCTGCTCGTCTGATTAATCGGTCGTGAGCACGGGGGAAATGTAGGTCATCTACAGCTGTCCAGCGGAGGATCCAGTGGCGAGGGAGAACCAGAACAGCATTAATTGTTCGCTTTGCTGTAGAACAGACACACGCTGGCCTGCTCGCCTCTGCTTTTAACACATTAGTGTGACCATAGTGTGTGACTTCGGCGCACGCGAGATTTCTGTCTTTTGAGGCAATGAGCTGAAATCACTTTACAATAGCGAATTTTAGATTTCACAAAACAAGTTACGTGCAGTTCGACGTTCGGATAGAAGTTGGCGTTACGGGTTGATTTACGTCCGTTCGCGACGTAAGGCGCCGTAACCCAACGTCGTTGGCTGACGCGTAAAAACTATCTGCCTTACGTGGACCTGTGCAACGGCTCAGCCATAAGGCTGAGCAATAAGCCAGCGTATGCTGCCTGTGGATCTTTTTTGTGTGCTCTAACCGCCTCCCCGAGAGCAGGTTGGTCACGCTCTCGGCACTCTCGATTCGATTTATTTTTTAGCTGCACGTCACTGCAAGTGTGCATCCGTACAAGCATTTTAAACGATTTTCAGTCTGCTAACGTACTGTTTATGTGACGCGGTAGTTTCTAGTGGACGGAGCCTAAACCATGTGAAATCTAAAATTCCCTAATGTTTTAACTAATACGTACATTATCGCTGCTCAAAGGTCGCTGTTAATATTTCCATATCGCGCTGGCAGTATTCTCTTGAGACCGGATTTTCGCCGACACATTATCAAGTAAGACTGATGATTCTGGTCGCAAATTGCCGGAACAGAGTATTTTTTAGGGACATTAATTTTATTCGTCAAAATACAACCTCTCCCACATTTACATGTAAAAACTGACAGTCAACATTAATGCGCTCAATTTTAACAAACTCTTTCTTGTCGGAATTTTGGGGGAACAATCTTGGCGGTTTTATCATGTTCGCTACGTTTAGGATGAGCGCACCAGTCGACCCGACGCCGGACGAGGTTCGCGCCCGCGCCCTGCTGACCGCCGCCCGGATGGCGGACGCCTGTGGCGACCAGCTGGAAGCCAGTCGCCTGTTTCGCCGCGCCGGCAACTTTTTCAAACTGGACCAGCAATGGCACGCGGCCGGCGCCGCCTTCCAAACCGCCGCTGGGCTGAAACTGCCGTTCGAGGTGGAAGCCAACACCGACCCGTATCTGACCACCGGAGCGCGGCAGATTACGGCCGCCGATCTGCTGAAGACGGCCAGCGACTGCTTCGTCAAAGCCAAGGACACCGGCGCGGCGGTGACCTGTCTGCAGACGGCCGCGGACCTCCTGACCGAAGACGGGGACTTCACCACGGCCGCCGGGTACTGCACGGAAGTGGGGAACATGCTGGCGCCGCGGGACGCCGACGCCGGGATTCGTTACTACGAGAAAGCCGCTCGCCTGCGCGAGGCCGCGGCGGACGTGTTCGGACGGAAGGCTGCCGACACCGCGTGGATGACGGTGGGAGAGTGGCTGGCCCGGAAGGGTGCCTACATCGCCGCCATCGACCTTTTCGAAGGACTCGCGGACCGCATCATCCGGGAACCCAGCGCGGAGGATTACGCCAGCAAGCACGGCATCTACGTGGAGGGCGCCACGAAGCCGGAGCGCCAGTGCGTCTTCCGGGCGGTCCTCTGCTACTTATGCCGCGATGGGCCGTCGGCTGCCCAGGCGGCCGTGGCGCGCTGGGACGCCAAGCTGCCATCGTCGGGATCATTCGATCAGGAACGGAACGTCTTGCGGCAGGCGATGGGCGGCGCCGAGAACCGCTTCACCGCCGACAGCATTGCCAAGATCTTGCAGGCGCCGGAGAATACCACCGACAGCTACCCGGGTTCATTCGGTCCCCCGGCGCATCGTTTGGACGAGTGGACCAGAATGATGCTGGGCCGTGCGCTGCAGATGCTGCGTGATGCCGAATACCAGGCGCAGCGCTGATTAGATACAAGTTACGCCGAGTGCGCCCACAAACTCTTTGGCCGGCTTCAGCTTAACTGCATCGGAATGATGGATGTCCGCATACTGTGTTTTCGTCATGTTGTGCGTATGTGCGAAAGGTCACCACGAGTGGTTATTGTCCACGTTTGTTTGTATTACTTCTTTACTGGCATTCAAATAAGTATTTAACCCGTGACGTTTAATTTTCTTTCAAAGCTCTCTGCATTTAATTATTTTATACCTGCACAAGTTACACTTTATTATCTCTCTGCGCGCACTGGCTTATTAATAATTGCGATCTTTCTTTTGGCTGATGCCGTCTATTATACGATGAACCGGATATAAGACCTATTCATATGTGATTTTAACAAGCAGTAGCCATACACTAGACAGTTAAATCTGAACATTAACAAAATACCCACAATCTGTATTCTCCCACGATTGCGTCAAATCGAAAAACATTCCTCAAATTCGTGATACATTGATTTTTCTGCTCGGACCGACCAGAAACCCTAATTTGCACCGCGGAAGAACTGCATAATGTATATTCCTTAAGTATGAAAATATTATCCCGTTGCAATTTCAAAAGACAAACTAATAAATAAAAAAAAGTCATTTCCCCACGAACGGGTGAATCTCTTGTCCACGTTCGAAGTCCGCTCAATGGTAAATACTAAATAAGAATGTGTTGCGGTGGCGAGGGAGATATTTCACTAACGAATAGTTAAAACGCATTTTGGATTGCTTGTGCCGTCATCCAGCAGGCTAAGCCGGGTGATAGCCGGCTTGATGAAGTAAGCCGGAAGTCTGGAGCCTTAATTCTTCCGGGCACAGGTCTTCCCAGCGCTGCGTAACAGAACAAGAGGAAATTTGTTGAGATTTGGGTACTTCTATGCTCGTTCCTATGATTCTCGCATTCTCCATGCGCATCCAGTCCTGTTTAGACTGTGAAGTTTATTTCGTCAAGTATCAAATACCAAAGAAAACTATAGGAAAACAGACAGTGATTTTAGCACTAACAGTCATAACGACTCATACGTACAGAACTATACTAAATTAATAATGTAATTAATAAAGCGCTTAGCAGTAAGTTATTACCACGCTGTCGCGTTTGGAAAAAGGTCATACTTGCTACAGGACACCAAGTTCATAAACGTGTAAATTGTTATACAAGTATACGAGTACTTGTGCACGACTGCTTCTGTTATGTGACAAACCAAAAAGAAAACATAAAAAAGAATTAAAAAATCCTAAGAAACGGACGATTGTGGAAGTTACGCAAAAAAGAGAATAAAACGGCACGATGACCGCCACAGCTTCACGCTTCAGCGATGCCCTTCGTCTTCAACATCACGCAGCAGTCGCAACGCCCGCTCCAGCATCATTCTGGCCCATGGCTCCAGACGGGGGTAGACGCCCCGGAGGTCCGCAAATTCGTAGTTGTCCAAAGGATTCGCCAGCATTTGCCCGAAACCTGCGGCATAATGAACGCTGCTCGAGCCGCTACTCGCCGGCCGGAGGACCCGCGCGACGTTGGCCGCGGTGAAGCGGTTCTCCGCGGTGCCCATGGCGTGTCGCATAATGTGGCGCTCCGGATTGTACGCGGTGCCGGCCGGCGGCAGCGTGGCGTCCCACTGCTGCACGGCCTCCTGCGCGGCCACCGGTCCGTCCCGGCACAGATAGCACAGCACCGCCCGGAAGTAGGCGGCACTCACCGTCAGGGCGGCACCGCTCCCGGAGTACCCGCTGCCGATCTCCGACCCGGGAATCTCTTTGGCGTGATGCTTAATCAACCCTTCGAAGTGGTTGATCGCGGCGGTGTAGTCCCCTTTCTGGGCCAACAGCTCCCCGATTCCCAGCAACGCCGGCCGCGCGCATAACCGCCCGTACCAGCCGGTCGCGGCTTCGTGCAGGCGAACGGCTTTTTCGTAGAACCGAATCCCGGCGTCGACGTGCAGCGGCGCCACCATTAGCCCCAGCGCCGTGAAGTACCCAGCGGACGTGGTGAAATCCCCGCCGTCCATCAGGAGTTCGGCCGCCGTCTGCAGACAGCCCACCGCCTCGTGGGGGTTGTCGTCTTTGACGAAGCAGTCGCTGGCCGTCTTCAGCAGCCCGATGGCCGTGCCCTGCCGCGCTGCCAGGGTCAGGGACGGGTCGGGGCGGGCGTCCACCTCGAAGGGCGCTTTCCGCTCGCCGGCCTCTTGGTAAGCGATGCCGGCCCACTGCCAGCGGCGGTCCAGTTTGAAGAGGTTCCCGGCGCGCCGGTACAGATGGCTGGCTAACAACTGGTCGCCATGGGCCACCGCCGTGCGGGCAGCGGTCACCAGGGTGCGGGCGCGACCCTCCTCCGGCGTCATGTCGTAATCGAGATTCTGGGCGGCTGGTGCGGTCATTCTAAAGTAAGGCACGTACCATCAACACGCGCGCCCGAACTTTTTGCGCCTTGATTTGTTTACGAAAAACAGCGTTACAATTGAAAACGATTACTGTGATATTCGTTCAGATTGTCATTTTACCTAATTTCGGCAATTCTGCTTGTTATAATATTAACTTAACGCGAGGTTCCCAGTGGTTCGGTCCCTTTGCGGCAACTCATATAACACAGTCATAACACGACTTCATATCAAACTCACTTGAAGATACATCAGGAAAATGATTTTTCTACACTACAGCGTTAGAAAAAGCTTTATTTTACTGACTGTAAATTAATTACGCGATTTTAAAGTCAAAAGTTTCAGGTTCAAAAAATTCAGAGCGTACTGTTCATTCAAAAAATTTCTGGAAACGCTGTTTGGTGCGGAAACAGTGTAAAGCTTATCACACATTGGGAATCCCAATATCGTTGCTATTAAAATTTAAAGTGTAAAAAACCGATCCAGGGGTGGTGGGGTGGTGCCGCCCTGAACATTTTCTGCTATAACTCTTAAAGCTTACGTGATATCGAAAAACGGTATGTGTAACAAGCTCAGCAGGTAGTGTTCGATTTATTGAACCTTTTTGAGTAATTTTTTTTAACGCGTTGACTTGTTGTGAAATTAAGTTTGATTTCTCACAAAACGCGTTTAAAGTCTACCGTGTTTTGTTGCGCTACCTTCACTACAGAAAATCTTCAGCTGGAGCGCTGAGTAAAGCAAATGCAAAGACAGCAGGGCTGGAGACGGCAGAGTGAGCAGACGCGCACGCCGCATGCAAAGACAATAGCCGTCGGTCAACTAAGTTATCACACCATCCTGTCACTAACAGCTTTGGCTCAGCATTCCTTTGAAACGGCTGATTACTTCACCTGCGCTAACAATAGCTTTGGATCAGAATCCCATCCATCGCTCTTGACCATAAAAGACCGGATTCATAACTCGGATTGCCTAAAAGCAGCGCTAGCCGCTTTCTCTCTGTTGAACAGCGCTTCCCCCTTCGACACTCATAACGGAAAATTGTTTTTTAACGTAAACAGAAAATCTTCAGCTGGAGCGCTGAGTAAAGCAAATGCAAAGACAGCAGGGCTGGAGACGGCAGAGTGAGCAGACGCGCACGCCGCATGCAAAGACAATAGCCGTCGGTCAACTAAGTTATCACACCATCCTGTCACTAACAGCTTTGGCTCAGCATTCCTTTGAAACGGCTGATTACTTCACCTGCGCTAACAATAGCTTTGGATCAGAATCCCATCCATCGCTCTTGACCATAAAAGACCGGATTCATAACTCGGATTGCCTAAAAGCAGCGCTAGCCGCTTTCTCTCTGTTGAACAGCGCTTCCCCCTTCGACACTCATAACGGAAAATTGTTTTTTAACGTAAACAATTTTTTCACATACATGATAGCGCCATATTCTGATAGAGGAGACTTTATTCTTTACAATGAGCTATAAGCCCCAAAATGAATTTCCACTGGGAACCTCGCGTTTAATAAACCGTCTTCTCCTGGCGAATTAGATTTAATCGTGAATTTCATCTGTTAACGTGTCTGTGAAATTATATTAAAATTTCAATCTGATTTCATCAACGTAATACCCAATGGAAATTACGATTTTCGGGCAGTTTTCGGATTTTTGTCTGAGCTTAGTCAATCTTCAAATAATTTTAAATTTGGCTTAGTAAATGTAATAGGTTACCCGACAAGCGAAGGTGGCAACAAATTCCGGCTGGCAGTGGAGTTGGAGGAGACGAGATGTGACCTTTCGTAGAGCAGCTATAAAATGTCGTGTGAAAAATTATACAGTGATTAAACCACGAGCGAAATTTTAGCAATCTTCCTGAAGTCCGGACAAAGAAGAATGATCGAAGGGTGACGTGCCGAAAAGCGGTTGTCTGCTATGGGAAATCCAGGGCAGGAAGCAGGCACGTATCACGCGCACTTGGCCAGGCCCGCTTCGCTGACAACGAGCAAAGGGGCACTGGAGAACGAAGCACGAGTCGTGCATCCTGTTGTCGAACAAAACCGCTGTCCAGTCTGTTTGCCTAGTGGCCTACATTGGCTTGTATCAAGTAGCCTACATTGCCACTGGCGCGGAATCGCGATACTGGTACTAGGAGTTTAATTCTGTTAAATGTGATTCCTGTCATATTGAGACTTTACGGAACTTCACGTACAAATGGCTGCTCATTATCAGCAACAGCAAGACAAATCGTACCATCCGTCTCGTTAACCTGCTGAGAAATCTCATTCCTTTGTTGGTCGTCTTTTATTAGTCGGTCAGGAGAACAGGGGAAATGCAGGGCAGTAAAAGCTGCCCAGTGGACGAAAGTGTGGCGCGAGAGAGAACCAGAGAGCGTTAATTGTTCGCTGCATAGCTTTATAGGCACCAGGCACACGCTGATCGGTTCGCCCTCTTCCGTTGCCATAATGTAACTGCTTCTGCGCACACGAGATTTTTGTAATTTTGGGCATCAACTGAAAACAGCTTCTGCTGATCTAAAATAATAATACACTACTGCGTTAGCATCACTGGTCAAAGGTCACACATACCTTTTCCATATCGCATTGACTGTATTCCACTTAAGCCGGATTTTCGCCGTTTTATTGACAAGTAAGAGATGAGGTTTCTTGCCGCAAATTGCCGGAATAGAGTATGTCTTTTAGGGACGTCTATTGGTCAAAATAAAATTTCTCCCACATTTAAACACTGATAATTCTACAGTAATTCGCTCAGTTTGCGCAATCTCTTTCTCGGGATTTTTTGGGGAAAATCTTGATGGTGTTTGCTATGTTTAGGATGACCGCACCAGTCGCCCAAAATCTCCATTGCGACACGGCGCCGGACGAGGCTCGTGCCCGTGCCCTGCTGACCGCCGCCCGCTCGGCGGTGGCGTGGGGCAACATGCTGGAAGCCAGCCGCTTGTTTCACCGCGCCGGCAACTTTTTTAAGATGGACCAGAAATGGCATGACGCCGGCGCCGCCTTCCAAACCGCCGCCGAGCTTAAAATGCCATTCGAGGCGGACACTATCCCCGCCCCGCCCTACACCACGGAGGTGCGGAAGATAACGTCCAGCGGTCTCTTGAAGACGGCAAGCGACTGCTTCGTCAAAGCCCAGGACTTCCGCGTGGCGGTGAGCTGTCTGCAGACTGCGGCGGACCTGCTGGCCGAAGACGGGGATTTCACCACGGCTGCCGGGCACTGCAAGGCCCTGGCGCAGATGTTGGCGCCACGGGACGTCGACGGCGCAATTCGGTTCTATGAAAAAGCCGCGCGCCTGCACGAAGCCGCGGCCGACGTGCACGGGAGGTCCGCTGGCGACAAAGCGTGGCTGACGGTGGGCGAACAGCTGGCTCGGAAGGGCGACTACACCGCGGCCATTGACCTCTTCGAGGGACTCGCTGACCGCATCCTCCAGGAGCCCAAGGCGAGGGATTACGCCAGCTCGGGCGGCGTGTACGTGCCGGACTTTTCGACGGCGGAACCCAAATGCCTCACCCGGGCGGTACTGTGCTACCTCTGCCGCGATGGACCATCGGCTGCCCAGGAGGCCGTGGTGCGCTGGGACGCCAAGCTGCCGTCTTCTGGTTTTATGTTCGATCAGGAGCGGAACGTCTTACGGCAGGTGATGGGCGGCGCCGAGAACCGCTTCACCGCCGGCCACATCGCCAAGATCCTGCAGGCGCCGGAGAACGCCGGTTCCGCCACCGCGAGCGGTCCACCATGGTGCGACAACGACACCCAGACGCGTCGTTTAGACAAATGGACCACAATGATGCTGGAACGCGCGCTGCAGATGCTGCGGGATGCCGAAAACAAGGCGCAGCGCTGATTGGATCCCTGTTGCGCCGGGTGTGTCCACAAACTCCTAGGCCAGGACTAGCTTAACGGCATCGAAATTATGGATATCGGTATACTGGGTTTTATTCATGTTGTGCGGACACGCGAAAGTTCATCAGGAGTTGTTATTTTCCACTTTTGTTTTCATGACTTCTTTACGGGTGTTCGAAAAAGTCTAGTAACCGTGACCTATAATTTTTTCTTAGGTCTCTAGACTCTCTACACTAGTTATTTTATGCTCGGTCTTTTACATCTATCTGCACGCGTTACTTACTCGTACTTAATTGCGATCTTCCTTTTGACTCATGCTGTTTAATGTTTATTATACAATAAGTCGGATAAAGACAGCGTCGTATGTGATTTTAACAGCAGCAGCCAAATAACCACAAATGAGCTAAAAAACAAAAACTAAGCGGCTTTCGCGGGTTTCAGTAAAACAACTAAATATAGTACATACCAATACCCTGGAACAGAAACTGCAGAATACAAGATTAGCATTACACCGACAGATTTGTGAGCAGAGAACCCTTCCAGTTCCTAAACGGCAGCTTAGGAATTGGAAGGTATTCTCACTCTTCGGTTGAGTAATTGCTGAATTGGCCAGTTCATTCACTGCCCTCGCTGTCGGACGGCCGGACTGCGCAGGATCATCCTTGGATGCTGCACACCAGTCCTCCATGAAGCGCGACAAGGCGTACACGCAGAACCGGTTAAATATGGCCACCTCGACATCGGCTAGACTGCCTGCCGTCCACTGGCGTCCGCGATAATGGGCCGACGGACGCGGATCACAGGACTGGTAGTCGTGAAGATCTGCACAATTCCCCAACAGAGAATACACAACATATACAGTAATTTACCGCACACCGGCAAATAACACGAACGATCAGCCGACCGCCTTATTAGCCTTTGAAATCGTGCAACTCAGTTTTAAATTTATTACAATTTAGTAGGTTCTAATAAAAATTTACCAAATTTTTATTATGTATTATTTTTTTTAGTAAGTTAATTTTTATAAAAATTTACAGCTTCTCTTCGAAATTCGGTAAAAAATTGACGCTGTCGATAAACACCCACCTTCACCACTCTTTTGGCCTTCTCCTCGTGCTTGCTGATATCGACCAACCAGACGGCCAGGCGTTCCACGTCCAGCGGCGGCCCTTTCCACTCAAGATGCCGCTCAAGCACTTCCACCATCTGCGCCTCAAACACTTCCACCAGTCCGCAGAATCTGGTTATCAACGTACTTTGAATTGTTACACCTGCACCTATATGTGGATATCTTCAATTATCTTGCAAGATACGTAATGAACAATATCCTTGGCGCATATATGTAATACGCATATTGATGAGCTTTTTCACGCAGATCAGTTCCCTGACGAGGAAAATTGACGAGTCGATGATCTACGGAACCAGTGAGTCAATGAGCAGCTGGGCTTGCCGGGTAACCAACAGTTTTTTTCTGTCGTATGGTGCGAAGGCAAAGAAATTCTGCATCATACACGATTACTGCTGGTTTTTTGTCGCTTATGGTTGTTTTCTGGTAAAACAGGAGACGCGAGATGAATACGCGCAATAGTATGCGCCAGCACTTGTGAAACCTTGACGGTATGGTTCATAGGACGGTTCGTAGTGCGGTGGCATGAAAAGGAATTCAGCAGCCGCTTTCTGTTTACATGTGCATCGTTAAGATAAACAGTTCAGAGACATTCGGAATTGGAATAAATCAAATCCGTATTTTTATTAATTCCCACTTCAAGGTCATACGTGCGAATCGGGTTACAATTTGAACAAAAAGGTCAGGTTTATGAAACTGGTACCGATAAGTTTTTTGGTTGGTTGTTTTCTTACTCTGTAATTAAACACTTGCTGAATAAGCATGCGGTAAGTATTACTACAGTATGTGAATGAAACTTGTTGTATCACAATGGCTGTGTACTTTTAGTCGGGAGAAATCAGTCCGCTGTGGAGTGGAGAGAAAGTGTGGCAGGAGAGCCGGAAAATTTTGGGCGCACCAGCATATAACGTACTGTAATTCCCCGCTTTTGTACGCTGGCGTTTTAGCCTATAAAATTCTTGCGCCATGTACGTATTACTCAAATCGACTCCGCACAGTTTGTGCCACTCAATTGCTAGGTGGAGAAACAGGTTTTCGACTATTTTAACGCCGGTATTTTAACGCCGGTGCTGCATGTAATCTTCGCAGGAAAAGGCATTCTTCAAATACGTACGTACGTCGCTCAATAATATTCAGTGCTCTAACGAGAATCTTCTTACCTCAACAAAACTCGCAGAAAGCTGTAGAATAAAATTGTAGAAAGCTGGAATTCGGTGTAAAATTTTTGTTTAGTTCCCACTTCCCTTAATACGGTATATGTATAGTTGGAGGTTTCTCGCATTTCGGACACTACCACACCATGGATTCGCGTACCGGACATTAGAGAAGCGATATGCACCGCGCTGTCCCACATAACAACCAGTCGATCAAGAACTGATCAAAAACTAGTTTACAGAAGCTTGTTAACGAAATTAATAAAAAAACTTTCAGTATGTAGTTTTCAACTTTTCTACTGTGGAACAGCGGAGAGAAGACTTACGTCTCTGGTGTCGGGCACGCGAATCCATATTGTGAACGTTGCCGGTAAACGAAAAACGTCCAAGTACTATCCTTACGCTGCACATTGTCATTCTTCTTTTCGTTATTTGTTACTGCCTTGTTGTATTTAGTGTAAGAATTATTATTATGCTAAACTGATCTCTGAAATAGTTGCGCATTACGCAAGAACAGAGCAAAGGTCATTCACTCAGATTACACCGCGTTCGTGCGCTGTCGCCATAAACACCGTCTGCTCTGTGACCTTTGTCCTGCCTATCCGCACTCGTAACTGCTAACGCCGCTGTGGCGATGTTTCCAGACCGCTTTCGCTGTGTGCGGTGCCCTGGCTGTTTTTTTCATTTAATGGCACTCTTTTCTTAAATCGCTAAATAATCCTGTTTTGTCGATTATTTTTTAGTTATTTTTTCGTAGTTTCTTTCCTATTATCTAAGCTGTTAATCAATTCTTATAGATCAATCTGCTGAGGTTTTCTTTGCTGGATTTAAACTAAACTGTGTGAAATTTTTGTTTGACATGTTTAATTAATTTTTTCTTGGTATTTTCTCTTACGTTTCCTTCGTTGAATGCGCGCTTCCGCAGAAATGTTTAAAGCCTTTATGATAATTATTACTAATAATTATTACTATGTTAATTATTAATATTTTTGAGCGACAGCAGGAATGATAAAATTATTAAAAAGCAGCATCCCGAATTAAACCCAAAAATAACACCAAATAATTCCCAGTTAAACATTTCGGCGTACAAAAACGGAACGAAAAATTACCAATAAGCATCCGTAATATATTCGATTAAATTAATCACATCCTTGTTATGAAGAAAAAGTTTATCCTGTCGTTTACGACGCCGTCCAGCCATTTTTTATCGATCCTGGTACCGAGTACGGCGCGTCCGGCGAATCCTTCAGGCTGCAAAATTATCACACAATAAATCAGCCGTCAAATACCGAAAACTAGCGGATATTATGAAGAAAAAAAATTGAGAAAAAAAATGCGCAAAAAAACTATGTACGGAAAAATACCTACGACAAAATCAACAAAAACAACAATAAATTTTTTTATTAAAAAGGCAATTTAATTTAAAGAGTTATGTTTTAGGATTAATTTAATTTGCAGATGCCGAGAAATATTCTCCAGTAAAAATGGAGCTGAAACATTTTAGCAAAATCATGCAAATTACAAACAAAATATTTCTATAAAAATCAGAAATTTTTAAAAGAATTTTTCGCATAGGAAGATATAGTGCGGTGTCTTACTGGTCGAAGGGGAAATAACGGATGGATCCCTTCCTGTCCAGCCCCTTCAGCGCCTCCACCTCCTCCGCCGCAAATTCAAAATCAAACACGTTAAAATTCTCCTGCAAATGCGGACGACTGGTGCTGCGCGGAATGGCCATCCGGCCGCGTTCATTCAGGTAGCGAATCAAAATCTACAAAATTAAAATCCGTGAAATTTACGATAACATTCTATGAAAAAATGGCGCTAAAATATGTCCGCAAAATTCCGGTAAATTAAGAAAAATATATATTTTCAGCAGCCAGCCCAATAATTAACGGAAAAAACGTTTATAACATCCACGAGAACGATCTCGCGTAAAACTGCCGCGGAAATATTTCCGCAAAATCAAGAAAAAATTGAAGAAAAAATCATTTTCAGCACAGGAAAAAAAATTATGAAAATATTACCCAGTTTCTAACCTTGCTAAACGCAAGCTCTAATAAAACCTGACATCAATATTTATTAAAAAATAAATTTTGAAATTATTTACTCAACAATTTACACAGGCAGTACACATTAAACAGAAATTCCCGGTAAATAACCGGTAAAATTCCTTCCTCCGCCAATTACACCGTATACACTACTGCCGTATTTTTGTTGACAAACACAACAATGTCGTGACCTCCCGCAGTGAGCGCCAGAGTCCATTCTACCGGTCAAAGGTCACCGCGGTCAAAACGCCAAACTCCACAGCAGTTGCCGCTGCAAGAATCTTCCACCCACGCCACGGTCAACCGGTACGAAACGTGAAACTTCCCCGGCTGACCTTCAGACCGGCATCGCGCGCCACACAACGCTGCCTGTAACAACGACCTTTCAACCCTGTGCGTCGCAACCACGAACATGTTCCCCATCGGCACTTTCCACTGACCACAATCGAGACACATTCAGTTTCGTATATAAACCATTACCGCGCCGGAAACCTCATCAATTCAATTTCCTTCCGAATAAATTCGAATTTTCCGATTAATTCCGATTAATAAATCCCTGATTTATTTTCTTCGATTTTTTGTTTTTTTTTAAGTGTTGATAAATTAGTAATCATGTCGGTTGAAGCGATGAATATGTCGATGAATCCTGACGCCGTCTTCATCCCCCCCGAGCAGCAGCAGCAGCAGGGCCGCGAGGTGCAGCAGGAGCGCAAAGAAGCCCAGCAGACCAGCTACATGACCTCGCAGGTCAAGGTCCCCATGATGCACCTGCCCTCGCCCTTCATGAGCACCGGATTCTCCGCCCAGGAACTCATCGGTGAAGGCTTCCAGGTGCGTACAATTTAATTTTTAAATTTTAAACAGCGTGCTAATTTTTTTAAAAAATCCAGTTAATTTCTAACGGCATTTTAATTTACAAAATTGGTTTTTACTGTAAGTTAAAATGTGTGACCTTTATTGAGTAATGTTTAGTATCTTTGAATTTTATACTAAATATAACTTCTGTAAAAATATAATTAAAAAAATCAACTAACAATAATTTTTTAGAAATAATTTCAGTCAAAAATTAAATAAACCAAACAATATATGCCTTCTAATTATTTAGTTAATTACTGAAAATCATTTTTTAAGCGCTGCCGTGTTCAGGCGTTCAGTTGGTGTTTAGTCTGCGAAATTGTTCGATGGCACTAAATTTTATCAAAATTACGTTTTATGGAAAAATATTATCTCTAAATAGATTTTTCTTGAATGAACATTTTTATAAATTTTTCGAAGAATTATTCCAAGAATTTTATGAATTTATTTATGCATTTCTAAGAATTAATCAATGCATTTAGCAATGCAAATTTTCAAGAATATTTTTTCCATGACAAGCGTCGCATTTGTGTGAACGAATTTTCTAACGATTACCTGTAATGGACTTGTTAAAAAATTATTCGATGAACGATATTTTAATGAATTTATTTGTGGATTTTTTCATGAATATTTTGCTTCGTGACAGGCGTCCATTTCGCGCATCAGCGCCGTGTCGGAGGACATGCGCCAGCTGGACAGTCCCGAGCTGGACGAGGAGGCCCGCAAGGACATGGCCGCCAAGCAGCGCGAGCACGACATGCTGACGCAGCAGTACGAGAAGGAGGTGGAGCGCAAGACGGAGGCCTACCGCAAACTGCAGGAGGCCGAGGCCGACAAGATCCGCAAGGAGCTGGAGAAGCAGCATCTGCGCGACGTGGAGTTCCGCAAGGACATGGTGGAGATGGCCATCGACAACCAGAAACGCCAGATCGACCTGGAGAGCCGCTACGCCAAGAAGGAGATGGACCGCGAGCGCACCCGCTGCCGTCTCATGCTCGAACAGCAGAAATTCCACAGCGACATTTCGGTACATTTTTTAACCTTTTTTTTACAATTATATACGGTATTTAAATATTCTCTATATTTTTAAAATAAAATTTCGCTTTCCATTTCGGTAGCAGATTCGATAAAACAGCCATAAAAAATTCGAAAATAATTAAGAAAAAAACTGCAATGCAATTAAATTACCACCGAACAGCAAAACTTCTACAGCGACATCTCGGTACATTTTTGATCCCTTTTTTTTACAATTATATACGGTATTTAAATATTTTTTATATTTTTAAAATGAAATTTCGCTTTCCATTTCGGTAGCAGATTCGATAGAACAGCCATAATAAATTTGAAAATATTTAGAAAAAAGCAATGCATTAAAGTACCAATAATCAAAAATAAATTACAGTTCCATATTAAATAATTCAAATTAAAAGCCGTTTTTACGAATTTTATAAAAGGTCTTAATAAATTTTAATTACTACTGTACTAATTTACTGTTACACTAACACAGAAGCAGTCATTCTTATTTACACAGTTTGTTTAATTTTTTATTGCTCAGTTTTTATCAAGAAAAAAACCTTTTAACATGACTATCAATTTTTTTAAAAATCACATATTTGCCGAATTCCTTAATGCTATTTTATTTTTGCAAATATTTCCGATGATTAGTTGCCTAAATAATTTTTTTAACTCATTTTTATTTTTCTAAAACAAATTTTCTACAGAATATAATTTTTTTCAAGAAAGTGTACGTTTTTTTCCCTGATTTTAAAACGCTTTGCAAATATTTTTAAATCGATTTATTAAAATCAGCTGATATTCATTATTGTTAATTTTTCTAAAGGTCAACCTGGAAGCCAGCGCCGCCCACACGGAAACCTCCGGACAGTGCGTGTCGGAATCTCAAAAGTTCACCGAAAACAACCGCCAACTCAAGAAGTAAACCCCGCCCCCAACGAATTCCCCTCCGCGATATTTTCTACCTATCCTTAACAATATTTAAAAAAATCCCTTTTCAACATTAATAGCTTGTTTTCTTGCAATTCTCTAAATGTTCACCATGTGAGCAAAATTAATTAAAATTTTTGTACCGTATAAGATTTTGTACAGAAACTGTCTGTCTGTCAAACGCGAAAATGAGAATAATTAATAAAACGTGGTAACTGACCTGCGCGGGCGATTTGTTGTGTTTCTGGGCGATTTTTAGGACGACCGGGTCTTCGGTTAGCGTCGGGTCGTCGGCTTTGAATTTCTTCATCCAGCGCGCCGGTGAGCCGAGCGGCGCGAAGGCCGTCACGGTGATGCCGTGCTGGCGGCATAACTCGAAGATCTCATCGTCCATCAAGTAGGCGTGGCCTTCCGTCTAATAAAAAACCAACAAAAATTATCAGAATTATGCAGCAGAATTTTTCCATAAATTCCCAAAGAAAAAATTACCAAAAATATAGTGAAAAATCCATAAAATTTTTTAAATTCTTCGCCATTATTTTAAATAGATTCCCATAAAAATTAGCGAATATTCGGTTCAGGTATCGGTACAACGTTCGGAATTATTCGTCATTTCGATTAAATATTTCGAAAAAAACCCACTGAATCGGCAAAAATTCCAGGTTAACTGTTCAATTATTTTTTGATAAACTCCATTATAAATTTTAAACGAAATCAGTACAGTATAAGTCGGCAAAAAACTCTAGAACAGTCGGGAAATATTTTCCCTATAACTATCGAATAAAATAAGAAAAAAATCCATTAATCGGCAAAAATTTGGAAAATAATTCGCCAATAGTTTTGCACAAATTCCAAAACAAAAATTATATCCATAAATTGGGAAAATCACAAAATAATTCCTTAAATTTGCTGCATAAATTCGAGCAAACACCGGCATTATTTCTCCAAATTTTGCAAACCGAGGAATAAAATTACGAAATAAATTGTAAAATTGTAAAATTATTGTAAAATAACGTAATTGTAAAATTGTAAAATTACGTAATTGTAAAAAAAATTACGTAAAATTACGTAATTGTAAAAAAAATTGTAAAATTACGTAATTGTAAAAAATTTACGAAATAAATGCAACTTGTACCGTAATTCCTTACGTAATTTATTCGTAATTATTCAAATTGTCGTGTGGCCGACCTGCAAATTGGCTGGTTTGATGCGGCAGTGATCGAGGACAAACTGCAGTTGCTCCTTATTGAAGGCCGACACGCCGATGGACTTGGTCAGACCCTGATCCACCAGCTGCTCCATCGCCTGATAACCACCAACCACAATAATTCTGTCAGCATTTCAGAATTTTTTTAAACGACAGACACAAGTTCTATTGTACTATTATACTATTCTATTCTATTATACATTAATTGTTAATTAGATTGTTTAATGAAGCAGAAAACACACCTTCCAGACGGCCGCGTGGTCGGCCTTGACAAAGCGGATCTTCCCGTCGGCATCGCGCGGATTAAACGTGTGATCGTCCACGTACTCGTAGGCTGTCGGTCTACACAGCAGCACACCAGCAATAATTATTAATTAATTAAGAAATCACAGCTTTATTTTGTTCGCCACAAAACAATCAATTAATACATGTTTTTTAAAAAAAAAACAACAACACAAAATCACGGAAAAACAGAAAACTGGCGGTTCAATTGATGCGGATTTAACGAAGCATTGATGCCGAAATGTATTTTTACTTCAGCGAAAACAATCACATAAAGAAATATTACACAAATTTAAAACAGCAACGTACGAGTACAAACGGAAAAATAAAAAGCTGCTTGTTTCAGTTATCCTGATTCCTGATGCAATTACTTATATTTGTACTCATATCACTTTTGATGTTTGCAAATGGAGTTTCAAAACATTCAGAATACACTGCACTACAATATTCCACGGTTGCGGTACACGCTATAGTTAATCGTGACATTACTAGTACACAGTTATTTTAATAGCCCGCTTTTTTTTCAGCGCTGCTTGTTATATGCATAAATCATAATTGTTGAAGTTTCTCAGAATTTATTGCTGACCATAACTGTTTATATCATAAAAATAAAAGATAACGTGCAATGTATTATTTTGTACGCAATACTTTTCAAATAAATTTTGGAAAAATTTTCGAACAGAAACCCGGTTAATAAAATGCTTTTTATTTTACAGAATTAATGCCGCACTGAAGTATGCGTAAAAAGAATTCGGACACAACCTAACGTTCCCGAAAATCGCCATGCAAACGACAATATTATTATTGCCGACATGGAATTTAATATTAATAAAAAAAATCAATGATAATATTTAAAAAATATTCAAGCAGACTTACACGTGCACCAGGAATAAATCGACATAATCCAGCTGCAGATTCTTCAACGACAACTTCAGTCCGTCCAGCACGCGCGCCGGATCCATGAACGTGCCCCACAACTGTCGTAATAATAACCATTATTTATTAATTAAAATTTTTAAATGGATACGAAATACATTTTTATTGCAGTATGATAAAAAACTACAGTAAATTTCGATAATTAGGATTTATTCATTTTAATTGCATTTTTAATTCTGAAGTGTTTAGATAAATTACTAAAGTGGCATGCCGCATGCATATGAATTTTCAATGAATTTCTATCTGTTATTTTTATTGAATTTTTCCCCCGTATTCAACAGGTAGCCAGCCACCCGCGGTTGCCGCTCTCCCTTTGACCGTCCTTACCTTGGTGGTGACGAAGACATCCTCGCGGCGCACCGTCCCGTCGGCAATCTTGTTGCGGATGGCCTTCCCGATCTCCACTTCGTTCTCGTACACCAGCGCCGTGTCGAACAAACGGTAGCCGATGTCGATGGCCGTCTCCACCGCTTCGCGCGTCCCTTGGCAGCTCGACTAACCGACGACAAAACACTTTTACCACCATGACACCATCGAATAAAATCGCATCCTGAAAGTTACTTCGTACCACGGGGCCCTTTCCCTCGACGAAGGAAAACTGAAACGGAAATGGATTAATTGCACTGCTACGCAGTGATTACGGACAGGGGACAGACAGCGCGAGCAAGAGACAGGCAGGCAGGCAGAGTGAGTGAGAGAGGCAGAGAAACAGACAGAGTGAAGTGAAAGGAGACAGACAGACTAACTTGTGACGTGCCCAGTCCGAGCATGGGCGCACGCTGGCCGTTGTTGAAGGTGATGTACGGGACGGATTGGGCCATGGTGAAGAATCTACAGATCCTGGAAGTCCGCGCAAGCAACGACAAATTCATCCAAGGAACACCGAACAGAACTAGACTGCGCTGGTCCAACGAAGCGCGGTCCTGGATAGCTGCAGCTGTCTGCAGAATGCAGCAGATTAGATAAGATTTATCGGATAATCTACGATTTACTGCGGTTGCTTGTCTTGCGCACACTACTGTACGGCGCCGACGCGTTCCAGATAACACAACAACCGACCAATAATTAATAGATCAACAAAACATTTAAAATAAATTACAATTACCAAGATTTCCGATGTGTAATTTTCTGTGACGGCTGGCAAACTGAGAAATGCAAAAGAAACATCGCCGGAACCGGAAACAGCTGTCAGCTGGGTGTAGCGTTGCGAAGTAGAACGAATGGGGCAAATTCCATTCAAACGTAGCAAAGCTTTTTCCCGGGCATAACTTCGGCTCGTCACTGGCACGGTACACAGTAAAATGCCTGCAGACTTTGCAGACGTCTCAAGTTCAACACGCACTCAAACTCGATTTCCATTTTCCATGATTTTCAGTTTTTTCGATTTTTTTCTGCATGAAAGTGTTCAGTTTCGGATTTTGTTGTTTTTAAATTCGGTGGTCTGGTTGATTGGTATCTTTAACCTTTTAGATCTGCATGCAAAAATGGTACGTGAACGAAAATTCAGCGAAATATGTCGGAATTTATTATTTATGACTTGGTTGTTTATTCGCCGCTGTGGTTCTGACGAGCTCTTCGCATTGTGCTTCATGATTTCTCTGTTTCCAGCCGAAGAATAAGAAAAAATTCAACAAGAAAACCGCCACAACCTACGCTCTGATCAACCGTAATCTCCAGCCGATCGGCGAAGATGAGGAGAGCAGTGGAACTCTGGCAAATTTAAGCAAAGAGGTAAACTTCAAAAATCTGAAAAGCGTAATGGTGCTCCGCAATAAATACTGCGCAAGCCATCATACTACTGTCTAGTAGCTTGTCATTATGTGTACCGTCTAACAGGCACTGAGAAAACGCTTTGTTGCGCTCCGTTTTCATTTCTTGTTCTTGAATTTCGTTCTTGTTTGGTTGTGCAAATCGGGTTATTCGGCCCTTGCAGGAGTTGTTAGCACGGAAGGAAGAAGAGCACAAAGTCGGAATTTACTTCAACGATAATTATGATTACATGCGCCATTTGCGGGACGTGTCCAGCTACCAAGGCAGTTTGGAGCCTGTGGAGAATTTCCGCATGGGTTCCTCGGCGTCCGACGCCTTGCTGGATGTCCTATCCGTCGTGGTAAGCAGCTTAAAACAATCCAACGTTAGAATCATTTATAATGTCTGCAAATATATTTTAGAACTGCGGTTTTACTGCATGCATTGGCATTCTGGAGAAATACGGAATTTATCTCATAATTTTTACTATCATTTTTGGATGAGCCGTTTGCCGAAATTTTTTTAACCTGCTTCGATTTTTATTCCATTTGGAAGTTTGTGTTTAATCTGTTTTCTTTGATTTTTATCCAGTAATATTAAACTAAAAACCTGGAAAATAAAATTGATTTATCGTTGTGAAGAATGAACGGTAAAAATTACTGCCGATTAAAATTTCTGACATGTTTTCGCAGAATTCAGTTTTGAAATTGTTCTTTTCATTATTTATAGAAAAATGTGTTTTAAATATTTTATTTATAGGGAAATGTGTATTTAATATTTACTTAAATAAATATATTTTGAATTAATCGTTGTGAAGGTTGAAAGGTAAAGTAAATTGAAATGGCGATTAAAGATTACTTCTTTTTTTGTATTAAAATTTAGTTTGGAGATTTCTGTATTACCTATTCATTGGGAAAATTCATTCTGGCGCTTACAATTATTTCTTATTTTTAAAAAGCATAATTTAAGAAAATTGCGTTTTAATTTGAGTAGATGTGTTTTTAAAAATGAGTTTATATCAATAGAAACGATTTTCACTGGCGTTTTTTTTTTGTCAGAGCGGACGCAGCAACCGTCCTAAACCGGCGAAACTCCCTCCCACCCTGGACTTCCTGACCACCCTCACCCCCGCACCCCCCTCTACCGCCGAACCCGTTGACGCCCCGCCCGACACGGACATCAACGCCGCCATGGCGGAGTCCTTCGCCTTCGACGACCCCGACAACCTCCTGGACGACGACTTCATCGCGCAGGCCGACGGGCCCCTCCACCCCCTCCCGGGGGTTTCCTCTGCCATGGACGAGGACGACGATTTCCCGGGCGTGGAGGAGTATGTCGACCCGACGCGGGGGATCAGTCGCGGCGGGATGGTGGGCGCCTGGCTGGAGCACCAACCCTCCGAGGAGGAGATGGGGGAGGGGAAACCGGAGCGCTCGACGGGGGCGCTGATCCGCGAGTGGGTGCGGCTGCACGGGGAGGAGGAGATGGGAGAGCACCCGGAGCAGGAGGAGACGCGGTCGCGGCTGTCCAAGTACTCCATGAGCAGTTCAGTGATGCGGCGCTCGGCCGGGTTGAAGCAGCTGGATGAGCATTTCGAGCAGGTATGTCGTTTTCGAAAATATTTGTATTGTAGCGGTTTTGTAGTGCGAGGGCTATTCTGGATGGGGACTCCATTAAGCGCGAACATTCTCGTGAAATCTAACAATTCGTGCACGTTTAATTGATTTTGTGAATTTTTTTCTCACTGAAGGATAAAAGGATTCGATAAAAGGATTGAAATTCGCTGCTAATAGGACTTATTTTTGGGGATTTTTTGGAAATGATTTTTATTTTCTGTTTCGAGATTTTAACTGGAAATTAATATTTTGAACTGCTATTTCACTGTTATTATTATTGGGATTTTACGGGTTTCGTAGTGCGGTGGCTTTCTTTGAACGTGTAATTTCATCATTGATTGTCGTTAAAATGTCGAATTAATGCACGTTTTGACTGATTTTGTGACATTTTTCGTACTGTAGAAATTTATTTATTCCCGGTAAAAAGGTGGAAATTTCCTTGTAGTTAGAGATTTTATTTTGGGAATTTTTTTGAATATCTTCTTGAAATGTTCTGTTAGAAAATTAAATTGGCAATTATAATTTTGCTGAATTTAGGAATTTCGGGTAAAAAAAAAGAGGAAATTGGCTCGTAGTTGGAGATTCATTATTTTTAGGATTTTTTAAGGAGTATTTTGGAGTTTAGAACTTAAGATGAAATTGAATTCGCTGTTGACATTTTGGGTTTGTATATTGCTATCGAAATATTTAATTTATAGTGGTTTTGTAGTGCAGGGGCTTTCGTGGACCCGCCGCCGATGGCACAAATCCCTGTAAATGTAGCGAGCGATATGTGCAGGTTATGGTTAGTGTTGTGAATTTTTCTTGCTTTTTAAATTTAGTAATTCTAAACGTGGGAATTCCTTTTGAGTTGGAGATTCTGTTTTGGTAATTTTTTGAATATTTTATTGAAATTTTCTGTTGGGAAATCAAATCGGCAGTTAAGTAACATTTTGCTTAGGTTTGCCGCTGTTAAAATATTTTGTTGGAGCGGTTTCGTAGTGTACGGGTTTTCTGTCCGCGCAAGTAATATTCTCTTAAAATTTCATAACATACGCTCGTTCTGATTGGTTTTTTTATTTTCTTCGCGTTTTTACAGTTTTTTTTATTCTGGGTGGGAAAAGGTGGAAATTTATTATTTTTTTTTCTTCGCGTTTATTTTGATTTTCTTTTTATTTCATTTTCTTAGTTTTATTTTCTTCGCGTTATTTTTATTTTCTTCACGTTATTTTTATTTTCTTCACGTTATTTTTGTTTTCTTCGCGTTATTTTTATTTTCTTCGCGTTATTTTTGTTTTCTTCGCGTTATTTTTATTTTCTTCGCGTTATTTTTGTTTTCAGTTAAAACTTAAAGTTAAAGCAGTTAATTTTATTTTCTTCGCGTTTTTATAGTTTCCTTGATTCTGGGTGGGAAAAGGTGGAAATTAACTGCGTGTAGTTGGAAATTATATTTTGTGAATTTTTGTGAAGTATTTTTTGAGTGAAAACTAAATTTGTAGTTCACAATTTTCAGTAAGGCGCCAGCGAAAGGGTTATACCGACGGTTTCGTAGTGTAAGGGATGGTGTAATTTGCTATTTCAACGGTACACTAATTTCTATAAATTGTGCGTGATGTGCCGCAGCCGTTTGAGTGTTTTTTCAAATTAATGTGTTTGTTTTTCCATGAGATAATTAGAATAAATCAGAAAAGTTTTTGAAATGAGCAATAAAAAAATTTCTTGGGTGCCTTCGGATAATAGAAATTCAGGAAAAGGGTAGCGGTTGCTTCTCTCGTATTTGCTGTCATGATCCTTTTCCGTGGAACTGGTTTTCTGGAATAAAAGTTCGAAAATGATTTTATGGGTGGGATGAACATACGCAATTCTTAAAATTCGGATGAGCGTGATGGTTACGATAAGTGCATGTTTTGTAGATGTTTTCTCAGTACGATGAAGAGGAAATTGGTGGGCTGGATTTGGATGATCACGAGGGCGCCAGCGACAATCTGGTGCTGCGCACGATGCTGACCGAACAGGCCAAAAAGAACGCTCCACCCGATTCGTACGTAATCAGTTGTTGAAAAAATTTACATGTCGACATACGATTTTTTTGTCGCTTTATTATGTTGAATATTTTTATTATTATGTTGATTATTATTCTGCGGATTTATTATAACGTTTTCGTTATATGATTATTAATAATATTTTTTATTTAATATTCATCTAATGATTGTTATTGATTTTTATTAATTGTCGAAGAAGTTTTTTTTTGTTAAAATAAGTAAGAATTTGGAATGGTTGTGAGAGGTGCGTTTAATTTTATTTGTTACGTTGGAATTCGTTAACTTCTGCTTTGCCAGATTTTAAATAATACAAATCCCGTCGTTTTGTAGGAATGCAGAAGAGGAAGAGAGCGATACGGAGAGTGAAACGGGCGGGGTGGACGAAGTGGCCCTCAAGTTCCGCTACGAGGACGATGCGCCGAACGAGATGGTGAAGGTGGTCCTGGAGGAGGACGACGACACCTACGACTGCCAGTCCATTATCAGTACGACTTGTCACTTGCCTTATTGTCTAATATTTAAAATTTATTTACAATTTAATTTTCTGATATTTAAATTTAACGCTGCAATATCTGTAATTGTTAAGAAATGCGATAATTTTTGAATTTTCTTATTTTCTTTCTATGCTTACAGTTTTCTTAATCATTCTTACGTTTCTTATATGTATTGGTATATTTTTTTATATTTGTTCATATTTGCTCAGCATTTTTTTCAGATTTGCTTAATAAGAAATGCAGTGTGAATTTTTTATATATATTTCTCGATTTTTTAAAAGTGTCTTTGGCTTGTTTTAGATTTTCTATTTATCAGTTAATTGTATTTGTTTTACATTCTGATTTTTACTGTTTTTCATTGCGTAATGTAACTTAATTTTTGTTGATTTATATTTTTTTTAAATAAAAAAATTCATATTTGTAAATTATTATTGTGCATTTTTGGAACCTAATGCGAATGTTTATTTGCAGGCCATCGTTCCAACAAATCCTACCAACCGAAAATCCTTGATCTGCCACGAAAGGTACGGAATTTAACGGAAAAAACCGTCGGAATATTTTTTTACCTGTGATTATGATGAGTTTAGTGGACGAGGCAGAATGAACCAGTGTTGACCATTTTTCTTCGACTGATTAATGTCTCTACTAATTAAAAATTATTAAAATACGGAATAAATCCGGAATTATTTTATGATGGTCATTTTGCAGCCGAAACCGATCCGGATTAACAATAAGACCGGCTTCCCGCTGCCGGAAGCGACGGAGACGCTGGAGGAGGCGGAGAGTGAGGAGGAGGAGGATGTGTTGAGCCTGATCTCCAGTCTGAGCGTGGCGCGGCCGAAGAACGAGACGCCGGAGGAGCGGCGGATGCGGAAACAGGCACTGAAGGGGCTGCGTCGCGAGCGGCGCGTGGAGAAGAAGGGCAATCGGTTGGCCTTCGGGGTGGAGCGGGTGCAGCAGGAGCGCGCCGCCGCCAATGTGGAGAGCCGGCGCAAGACCGTGGCCGTCGTGTAGAACGGTGGAAAAGCGGGATTTTGTTGTTATGGAACTGATTAAAAAAATGCTGGGTTGTTTGGGAGGATGTGTGAATTAAATCCTCCTTGAGTAATATTGCGAAGAGTTATAAAAAAATGCAAATGAAAAAATAGATTAAAAAGCAGCAATATTAAAGAATGAAGATACGAGGGGAAAAAATATAAAAAGGGAAAAAAGGGAAAAAAATATGAAATACTGAAAAAAAAGGGAAAACAAATATGAAATACTGACATATTTCGGTTTTTGGTTTGCTTATTAGCTAATATTATATTGGCCCTTCCGATGGACGTGCTTGGCAAAACATAATGAAAACACAAAAAACAAATATTAAAAAAATGAAGGATACAAAAAGTGAATATTAAATCAACAATAAAAATATTTTTTGTTTTTGGTATAATTATCAGTTAGCACAATACTGACTATTGCGGCTCTCGATAGCACCAAACCTAAATTAAAAGGGGAAAACGGTCAAGGAAGCAGAACTGAAAAATAACAAGAAAAAGAATTTTGAAATGTTTTTTTGAAATTTTGAAACTAATTTCGTTACTCTTATAAATTTGTAATTAATGTTTAATGTGGAATTATTATCCGCTGACCCGTGTCTCCGTGAAGCATTCAGCTGCGAAATACGTTGCGCACGGGGCGGAGTTCCTTGTCTCGGATTTTGAAAATACCGCTCGCTGTGTTTTGTCTCGGTTTACGCCTGACAGGCTGACAGCACCGGTTGGGAGTACCCATGCCCTGAGGGAAAAACGGCCCGATTTCGCTGCATCACGCAGTTTTCGTACACGTCCTATCCTCTATAAAGTGGAACTGTTAATATTTTTTTTAATTCTTTTTTTTTAATGATCTCCTTATTTCTAATAAGCAATAGCCAAAGTCTTTAAATCGACGTTAAACGGAGATTTAATTTAACTTAATTAAATTTTATTTAAATTTCAGTGAAATACAGTACTTAGTTTGTCAAATAAACTTTCTGTTAATAAACCAGACTTACTTATTTCTTAATTATTTATATACCGTATTAAAATAAATTTTCAACATAAATTAAATTGATTTATTGAATGGGTTTATTTATTCAGTTTATGTCTGAAATCGTGAAACATTTTTCGTTTAATTTAATTTGAACCAAATTTTATGTTTTCGCTTTCGCTTGATTTGAATTTCGTTAGATTTTTAGAAAAATTAGGTATGATCGTGTGATTAAGTTAAAATTTAGCGTGATCGAAATTTGATTTAATTTAATAATAATAGCTATTGATTTAATATTTTTACTTCATCTGAAATGGTATAACAATTATATCATTTATATGAAGTTCAATACATATACGCACTGTAGATTAAATTCGTTTCGTAAAGTTCTCTAAGCTGTTTATGCATACATATTGCGACGAAATATGGATTATGACGTATTTCTTTCTCTCAAGCTCACTCACATTAAAGGCGGCGTGGTGCGCCTTCACAACGCTGTATGCAAAAATAAAAGACACTTATTTTTGCCGGCAAAATCCCGGTGTGTTTAAATCATTCTGTGCTGTTGTCTGTTGCGCTGCAGCGTCACAGCAACGCACAACCAATACAAAACGATTACGTATCTGGTGTATTATGAGAAAACACGTGCCGCACCCCTCCACAAAACCGCCTTTTCCACTAACTGGACAATGGACGGTCCGTCACCCCGTTCCGTGCGGAGTAGAGCGTGGGCGAGGGTCCGCGTCAGCACTTTTACCCGACTAAGGGTTTCTTACGATTGACGGCGAACCTGTGCAACCATAACACGCTTTATCCGGCTAATCTGCTCCCGCGGAAGACAAAAGAATGCAAATAAACCCGCCGCGTCTCGCGCAGCGGCCGCTACAATACCGGTTAATCCGCACTGGTGACGCTGCACGGGGAGCTGCGTATGAGGGGCATCCGCCCCATACATCTCATAAATAAAGCATTGCACAAATAAAGAGTCGGGAAAAATCCGGTCCACATATGTCGGTGAAAATCTACCGCACCTGATCTATAAAAGATTTACGCTGTACTGAGGAGGCAACCTGGTTGCTTGGTCGTGTAGAAAAGGTCAGGAATACCGTGCACACTACCGCGTAGTGTGCGGCATCGTGGTGATTAATTGCTACTCGTAGAAAGCTTGTAAAATATTTGATTAACAAACGAACATGTTCGTCGGATGTGGACTATCTGTTGTTGTCCTGATCGTCGTCATCCATGTCGCGTACACAGCCTATCCGATCGGACGAATCTACGCGCGCAACGGTGAGCCGGTCAACATTATTATACTAGCGTTATTTTCACGTTCAGTTTACGTGGCCTTTTTCGGCGACGTGAAGGTTCACAAATTGGTTTTATATCCTCTAGTTCGGTGTTATTATTTTATTCTTAATATTCTGAAGAAACGTAGTGTTAAGAAAGTCCGTGTTTGTGATGAAAATCCAAAAGGTAGTCTGCATAAACATAAAGTTCGCATCGAAGGGATTATACAGGCAACGGTAAGTTGAATCGAGGCAACATGCATCGAGACAACGGTAAGTTTAATTGCAACATTTGATGAGAGGTTCTCGTAAAACATGAATTATTATATTATGTAGACGATACAGCGATTTCCGCAGAACTGAAGCTGCTCGGAAGGAAATTGTTCATGTGTGCTAAGAGGTCCGGAAGTGACCTCGAGAAGCGCCTCTCAGGCAGTCAGAGACTCAGAATAGGGAGACGGTTAATTTGTACAACTGCGACGCAGTTATGGTAGACATTTTGGGATACGTATATTCTGAAAAGGGATGGTGGAAACTACTTTGCAGATTACGTGATGGATCCGGCGGCGACGACGAAACGAACGGCGCGGGAAAATTTCCGCGCAGCCGGTGACCTTTGCGATCTTGTCTGCCACCGCTACCGACGCTGCGTGGTGGGCCGGTGGAATTGGATCTCCCTGGCGGGCAGCAGTCTGATTCCGTGTGGGGATGATGCGCAGCGCCGACGGTGTGATTGCGCCATCATGGTCATCTGAATATTCCAGAAAGACATTTTGAAGTGACAATGAGATAGCGAGCACTGGACTAGCTACTTCATTTTATCTCTTATTGTGCCAACAACTGCGCTTCTGTGCGAGTTTTAAACACAATGTACATACAGGGTGAAAAACAATGTCATTCGGCCCGTTTCCCTGTACTGCTGGCGTTACCCGGCTGGAGTGTGACGTTACGGCAGTACATACGGTTAAATCAGGCGCGACATATAAGCGCCATGTATAGCCACAACGTAAAGCACCTGCCGGCTGACACCAGAAGTACAAGGGACTGGTTCGGCTAGACTTGTTTTTCCTCCTATATTCCTGTTTTACGCTTTTTCTTGATTTCTGTATTACATTTTTGAACCGCTGACCGACTGGCCGTTTTCCAAGTTCTTTATCCTACGTGTACTGGGTGAGCGCTGCCCCCTGTACACTCTACAGGTGATCAAGAACCGACTTACATTGAACCGTAATTCATTTCTGTCTCTCGTAATAACAAATTTCCCGTAAAAGCGTGTCCGGTAATTTCCTACGTAAAGGTACAGCTAGCACGAAGTTCGCGCTTATAATGATGGCCACTTCAGTACGTTTATCAAATTTCCTAAATGCGCTCCGCAGTCAGATTGTCACTTACTGCACGACCATTTGCTAGCTACTTTCCGCGAGGCAGTTACTATTATTCTCCTAAATTATATGGCGTGCAACAAGCCACCAGCCAGCCAAATGCATCTTAAGTGATTAAACAGTGTGGCGTGGCGCGGCGTAGTGTGAAGTTTCGCGTAACACGCAAATTTATGTAATTCGCTGTACAGATTCGTCAGAAATTACCGGACAAGCTTGTACGTAGCTTACCGCTAAACGAGACGCTTGCGATATAATTTAATGGGCTGCCTATATACATGTATACATGTATTTACGGATTATATGGTACAACACGGACACAAAATACTCGCGCTCGGATCGGTAATAATTATTGATAACTTATGCGAATTGTTTATTGATTTTATTGTTACATTTTTGAGCCGCTCACCGACTGCCCGATGTCCCCTTATTTTTTTTATACTTACATAGTTACATTGTATATTAATATACTTCGTTGTGGGGTTATCAGAAAGGAACAGGATAGGAGCTGACGGCATGTCCGGCAAGGAATGCCCTTGGTGCGGAATGTAAGAAGCTGGTGTACGGTGGCTGATTCACATGTCCACGGAAGTTCGAAGAACCCTAGAAGGCAGGAAGCGTGGCCCACGTGGCGGAAAATGCTAAGCGACTGAAGTATTCTTCGCTGGAAAACCTGTATCTTTTTTTGCCCATTGGTGGGTGAAACGCTTCGGTGCTCTTGGACCGGCTTTAAGCGAATTGTTACAATTTATGGGCCGGAAAGTTCGTGAGCTGATGGGGATGCGCGTCTTACTGCTTTCCTTAAGCAACGGTTCTGTTTTTAAGTGCTGTTATTAAGGGATATGCTACGGGTATGTAAAGTACGTTACATTCTATTCCACGGGAGGAACACAGATTTTGGTTGTTTTTTCAGTGTTTAAAGTGTGACTGTAAAGTATAGTGCCCGCGCTTGTATATTGTGTTATTTCGAAGCCTAAGAAAATATTACGGTATTCTCGGTTCCTACTGGTTGCGCAACCATGATGACGGAGTTGCCACGGTCATCTCCCTTTCTTAACGGTAATGGTTTCGCTTGGAAATTTTCACGCAGTATCTTATTTGTGTGGCGAAGGAGTGATAATCAATGTCATTATGCGGAAAGTACTACAAAGTTTAAGTAGTTGTACCAGCTTATCCCGTAATTTCTATCGCATCAACACAAAGACATGCAAACATTTACGGATTACGCCAAACTCCATACTACGGCGCCACACTAGGTACGCTCTACAAGGTTAAAGCAAGCCAAAAATCGATCAAAATAATATAAACTCGTTACTCGTGGTGAGTTTGGGAAAAGATATTTCGCCCATAGACTTCTATGTTAAAGAGCACCATCCGAAGAAAGTGGTTGCCTAGAGCAACGATCACTTTGGGCACGATATTTATATTTAAAAGAAAGCTAAGAAGGCGCTATCAAAAAATTACGTTATCGCTTGTCAATTATCAGACGGTTAAAATC